TAATGCAGCACTACGGGCAATACCTACAGCCACGATTACCGACACTAACAAGCTCATCTACAATACGGCAACAGTGATCAGTGAGATGCTTGGCTACAAGTTGAACAGCGACAAGGGGCAGTACCCTCCATGGAGAAGGAGGCTAGAGGGCAAGATCAAAGTAGCACGGAGGGAGGTTAGCCAACTAACGGAGTTGCAGAAAGGTGCGACAAATAAGGTGCCTAAGAAATACAGCAAGCTGTCCATACCTGAGGCCTTGGAAACTGCCAAGCAAAGACTCACAGCCTTGGCCAGCCGCTTGAGGAGGTACACCAGAGAGATAGAAGGCAGGAGAATAAACCAGCTGTTCTCCACAGAACCACCAAAGGTGTACTCTCAGTGGCAAGGGAACAATAATAATAAGAGAACAGCACCACCAAGGCTGGAGACGGAGCAATACTGGAAGAGCATATGGGAGAAGGATGCAACCCATAACGGCAATGCTCAGTGGCTAGAGGATCTGAGGGCAGACCACAGCGACCTCCCTGAACAGGGTCCAGTAACCATCACAGTGGCAGATATCCAAGAAAGGGTCTCCAGTATGAAGAGTTGGACAGCACCAGGGCCCGACATGGTTCACGCCTACTGGCTGAAGAAGCTGACTGCACTCCACGAGCGTCTGGCAGCACAAATGAACCAGCTGCTAGTTAACGAGAGACACCCGGAATGGCTAACTGAAGGCCGGACGGTCCTGATCCCCAAGGACCGCAAGAAGGGACCGGTCCCCTCCAAATACCGACCAATAACCTGCCTCAGTACTATATGGAAGCTCCTGTCAGGCATCATATCGGCTAAGATGAACAGGCACATGGGTCAATACATGAGCGGGACACAGAAAGGAATTGGCAAGAATACCAGAGGCGCAAAACACCAGCTACTGGTAGACAGAACAATCAGCCGAGACTGCAAGACCAGACTGACCAACCTGTGCACTGCCTGGATTGATTACAAGAAGGCCTATGACTCAATGCCCCACAGCTGGATACTGGAATGCCTAGAATTGTACAAGATCAATGGGACCCTAAGAGCCTTCATCAGGAACTCAATGGGGATGTGGCGTACAACACTAGAGGCCAACTCCAAGCCCATAGCACAAGTCACCATCAAGTGCGGGATCTACCAAGGAGATGCTCTGTCCCCACTGCTGTTCTGCATAGGCCTGAACCCCCTCAGTGAGATCATTAACAAGACTGGCTACGGATACCGACTACGGAACGGAGCAGTTGTCAGCCACCTCCTGTACATGGATGACATCAAGCTGTATGCCAAGAGTGAACGAGACATCGATTCACTGATCCACACTACCAGGCTATACAGCAATGACATTGGAATGTCGTTCGGACTGGAGAAGTGTAGTCGGATGGTAACAAAGAGAGGGAAGGTAGTCAGAACTGAGGGGATTGAACTACCAGAAGGCAACATTGCAGACATAGAGGACAGTTACAAGTACCTGGGGATCCCGCAGGCGAATGGGAAACATGAAGAGGCTGCTAGAAAAGCTGCAACCACCAAGTACCTGCAGAGGGTCAGGCAAGTCCTGAGGAGTCAGCTGAATGGTAAGAACAAGATCCGGGCCATCAACACGTACGCCCTGCCCGTGATCAGGTACCCTGCTGGGGTAATAGGCTGGCCAAAGGAGGAGATAGAAGCCACTGACATAAAGACAAGAAAGCTCCTTACCATGCATGGAGGGTTTCACCCCAAATCCAGCACCCTGAGGCTGTACGCTAAGCGGAAGGAAGGGGGCCGGGGACTGGTGAGTGTCAGCACCACAGTCCAGGATGAGACAACGAACATCCAAGAATACATTGGGAAGATGGCCCCAACTGACCGAGTGCTCAGTGAATACCTCAGGCAGCAGAAACCCAAGAAAGAGGAGGGAGACGAGGAACCATCATGGAAGGACAGGCCCCTGCACGGTATGTACCACCGGCAGATAGAGGAGGTGGCTGATATCCAGAAATCCTACCAGTGGCTGGACAAAGCTGGACTGAAAGACAGCAGAGAAGCACTAATCATGGCAGCACAAGAACAAGCTCTGAGCACAAGATCCATAGAGGCTGGGGTCTATCACACCAGGCAAGACCCCAGGTGCAGGCTGTGTAAAGATGCCCCAGAGACAATCCAGCACATAACAGCAGGGTGCAAGATGCTAGCAGGCAAGGCATACATGGAACGCCATAACCAAGTGGCCGGCATAGTGTACAGGAACATCTGTGCCGAGTATAACCTGGAAGTCCCGAGGTCAAAATGGGAGATGCCCCCAAGGGTGGTGGAGAATGACCGAGCTAAGATCCTGTGGGACTTCCAGATACAGACGGACAAAATGGTGGTGGCTAACCAACCGGACATAGTGGTGGTAGACAAACAGAAGAAGACGGCCGTAGTGATCGATGTAGCGGTTCCGAATGACAGCAATATCAGGAAGAAGGAACACGAGAAGCTGGAGAAATACCAAGGGCTCAGAGAAGAGCTCGAGAGGATGTGGAGGGTGAAGGTAACGGTGGTCCCCGTGGTAATCGGAGCACTAGGTGCGGTGACTCCCAAGCTAGGCGAGTGGCTCCAGCAGATCCCGGGAACAACATCGGAGATCTCTGTCCAGAAGAGCGCAGTCCTGGGAACAGCTAAGATACTGCGCAGGACCCTCAAGCTCCCAGGCCTCTGGTAGAGGACCCGAGCTTGAAGGATAAACCGCCCACAGGGGCGTGCTGGGTGTTTTTTTTATATATTAGGGGTGCAACGATATTCGTATCGATATTGAACCGTTCGATACAGTGCTTTCGGTTCGGTACGCATATGTATCGAATAATACAACATTTGTAATTTATTTTATCAACTTTCCTTCTGACGATGCTGTCTGTGTTGAGCGCTCAGTGAATCTGTGTTCGACTACTCCGCCTAGGCTGCACTGTCGAGCGCAGATCCACTGAGTGCTCAACACAGACAGCATAGTCAGAAGGAAGAGCGCAGGGCAAGCTAGCAAGACAGAAGTTAAGCTCTCCAGATCTATATATATATGTGTGTGTGTGTGTGTTAAGTTAAGTTTGCACGTAAAGAAGAAAACAGTACCAGATTTCTAGTTTTTGATCAAATGTATATAAACTATACAAAAATTAAAATAATTGGGATTTAGAATAAATCTGTTTATTTAGAAACATATCTGTGACCAGGTTCGCACAAAATGTTGAGACAGGACCACTGGCTAAGGAGGAGATGGGGTATATTAAACCCCGATTATTTTGTCCCCGTGATAGAACAGAGAAAACTGACTCATAGTGTGTTAAAACATTTATATTTCTTTTTATTCAATCATCTTGCGGAAGCGAGAGACCCCTGCACAGCCCAAACGTCAGTTGCAAGAGCTCTAACATTTTTAGCTCAACATGTGTCTTATATGGTGTTATTTCTGTACTTCAGACGTCACACACGTCACACACAATTTCAAACATTGCTTATATGGAAAGTTTCTCTTTTCTGAATCTTATCTATTAATATGCCTGTGCACTAAAACTTCCTGTTTTTCAGTCTGGCTGAGCACTTAGTTTGTGAGTCAAAAGTGGCTTTGCTCTACAAGCCTTCATGATTAAAGTACATAAAACAATCTAATGAGCAGATACACATTAAAAATATCTCTCTATTTCTTAACAGGTACATACACAGACATATCTTCAGACATATCTTCATATAATGATTGTAGGCAGTGTTGGGGAGTAACGGAATACATGTACCGCCGTTACGTAAAGCAGTGGCTAATGCCATATTTGGAGAGGCCAAATCAAAAATTTATTTGATTTCATTGAGTTGATCCAACCCATGCAAATCACATTAGACCAACAAAAGTACTTAATACTAATAGGGAGACATTTATTAACGTGGAAATCCTTTCCATGATTATTTTAGGTTCGTTTAAAGAGGGGTTTTTTTTTTTCGAGTGTTCAACAAACTCAGAGTCTGGTTAACATAATTTAATGGATTTAGAACATCACTCCATCCATTCTTTAACGTTTGTCCTTATAGGTGTCGCAGGGCAGCAGGAGTCTATTACAGCTGTCATCGGGCGAGAGGTGGCGCAGACCCTGGACAGGTTGCCAGTCTATTTACAGACAACATTTCACTCTCACATTCACATCTATGGGTAATTTAGAATCATTAACCTAACCCCACATATTGTGTGTACCCAGAGAGGCACACAGTGCGAAATTGCTAACTCCACACAGAAAGATCCTGACCAGTTGATGGATTTGCAGGAGCTTCTTGCTTTTGTGGCAACAGTGCTAACACCCATCGAGCTGTCACTCCAGACATAAAGTAGTATGACAGCTACAAGGTTCGATACTGAATTTTCTTAATGTTTTTGTCCTTGATAGGTTAAGCCACAATAAATAGCAATAGCATATACATGGTGTCTTTAAGCTTTTCGTCCTCTTATAACCCCAGTGATTTTCCTGCGGTTTGCAATCTTGTGTGATCTTGTGAATTTAGCAAGGCAGGTAACCAACGACTCTCACTAGATTGTATCACGTCATCTCAACAAGAATAAATGTAGCAATTTTTAAGTTGTTGAATTTCATGCAGATTGTACATGATTTAATTACGTTAACCATAGAAATATAAAATATTTTTCTTCAAAATTACATGTTAGTCTTGTAAATGTAACAACCCCCCAATGTCACTCTTTTGAGGCCATGATTAGTAGTTTCACCAAAATTTAGCTTCTAGCTCATATTCAGACCACAGGTTTGGTTTCTGATTGTAAGACTTTGGAGTGGGTGTAAAAATTGACTTAGTTATTAGAGCTTCTACATGTTTTCAGCCCTAAATATTTTATATTTTTATGAATTTATCAAAAAAAGAAATTAGATGTGATGCACTGATTGATTGTTTAATAATGGCAGTTATTGTCATGAACCGAAGTTCCGAGCGCAGGCAGGACCCAGTAGCAGAACACACACACTAGGGAATGAGCGAATAAAGAAAGTAATTTTTTATTGAAACTAAAGGTGTCCCGTGAGGGTAGCCAGAAAAACAACGGGTGAAACCAGACGAAACCGAGGGACCGCACAGGGAACGCCGAGAGCGGGGCTGTGAGAGGCTGTAAAACAAAAAGAGAGACAGATTACTGGGGTGCGGAAAAAAGGCAGCATACGAGGGAAGGTGGAGTGTGCGTCTCACGGTGATAGCCGGGCCGAGTGAACCAGAGGGGGGTGGAGCTCCAAAAGGGGTCGAGACGGCGAAGCTGAATGTGAACCGAATCTCAGGCGGACAGGTGGACAGGCAGGTGGCTCAAAAAACACGCCGAGTTGTGATCTGGGTGCACAGGGAAAGAAAAACAGTGTTAGGTCCGATGGAGAGTCTTGTCATACGAGTTCTTTTCCGCAGGCGTACGTTACCGCTGAGAGGCGACTACGGACTGGCGTGGAGCAGCAGGTAGGGCAGGATTAAATAGTCCACCTGGTGATCGCCTGGGATGGGATGCAGGTGTGGGGTTAGCAGCCACGCTCGTGGGCGTGGACATCCCAGCAGCACCCCGGACGCCGGGCCGCGGACCATGGCAGTTATGTATTAATGGCGAAGCTTTACAGTAAATCTTCACAGACATTACAGTAAACTGTCAAGAGGGAATGACTGCATCACTCTCGCATTTATCAAACCGAACTTCATTAAAAATACCTTCTTTGTTTGAAACTTGTTTAACTAGAACGAAGAACAGAAACATTTCACCCCTCCCTTATTCAACCTCTGAATTGTTCTATTTTTCAAGGCACTGAGAGAATTTACTGACACTATGTCACAGTTCAGTGTGCAATCACAGTTATTGAAGTATCTCCATGAGACTATATTTTTTCCATTAATCGCCTTTTTTAAATAAATAGTTTTGGTGTTATATGCAGCTTTTGATTTTCAGCCCTATTACCACTTACACAAGAAACAAAACGGTCCACATTTCATATATCAGTACTCGTCATTACAGTTTAATGTGATGACCAGTTCTGATACATAAATTCAACAGTTTGTGTGCCCAACAGTTATACAGCGACATGTTGTGGGTTTACATGGATTTACAGCAAAACATATCTTCTGAGTGTACTGCAGCCTGCAGCATGAGGTGTTGCTCATAGTTTTGTGTAGTTACAATGTCAGTTTACAAGTTTGACCAGTGACAAACGAAAGCAAAGCCAAAGTGGAGCAAGAGAGCAGGTGGAAAAACACACAGCAAGGACATCGTGAGGTCCCGGTGACGACTGTGATTTCTTTTTAACAACATGGACGGTCAGTCAAGCTTACTTTATATCAAATACAATTAAAGGGAACACATATGTGTTTAAAGGAAATGTTTTGTTTTGACAAACACAATTATTAGCTTCTGATTAATTGGAAAAAACTAAATGAATCATTTAATTGCTCCAAATATTAGAGAGGGGCAGCCTTCCCATCAGGATCACCAGGATATTTCTGAAGTGGTCTGAAGGTCGTTTTGGCCTGCTGTGAACAGTCGGTGTGATGTGATATAGAAACCACATATGTGTACTTTCTCATTTTCTGTTCAGTCTCCATGATGCATAAGGGTGCATGACAAATACCCAGTAACTTATGGCATTTATGGTAACACACATTATGCTTATAATTGTGCTAATTGTGCAGTTATGGTTACAGGTTCTCTCCTCGTTTCTACACTTTATTGTAATTATATATAATCTGATGGTAATAAAATTGTTGTGAATTATTTTGGTCACACTTAAGCCTGAATCTGACATTGTGGCAGCCCTAAACAGCAGGTATAATTCATCTTCAGAATCAGCAAACTGGTGATTTGGAGTAGCTAATCTGACAAAGCTGTGATAGGAAATTTACCAAACCGTCAAGTTTGTTTAATGGACTCAGACATGATCTGGAACCCCTGACCTTAAAGTACTCAAAATAGAAGAGGCAACAAAATTTCTTCCATCTCTTCAGTTTTTGATCTTGGGATCTTTTCAGCATAGTGTGGCTTCTGTAACAGCAGTTTCACAGCCCGTAAAGTGGAGTTTGAAGCTAATATGGCTGAAGAACGGAGAAAACAAAGGGTGACTTGTGACCCTGATCTGTGTGTTTACATTAAAAAGCTTTAGAAAAATAAATGTCTTGTTATTACACTCAGATTAAATTGTTATCATTTCAGGAACACAGCAAACACAGTTTTCACCGTAACTTATTACTGCTTGTTACTATGGCAATAACTCATTACTGTTTAGTGATGGACGTACACAAATTCAGCTGCATGCACTTTGACCATATGTGACACAGACACTCTGCAAATCAACTGTTAACACCATCAATCGCAAAATACAGACATAATGTTTTGTCAGTCAGGCATTTCCAGTTCAATCCTCGAACTGATGTACTTGTCTGTACTTGAATGTTACTGGATGTGATGTCATACATCTGAGGTTCTCAGTTGTTGAAGCCTGTTGCTATTGTAACAATTTTGTAACACTGTGTACTACATTTAACTTACACACGCATGACCTATGTTCATTAGTTTGTTCTTATTGCACCCTCCTGCTTCAGTATGTTTTACAGTTGCAGTTGACCCCACTCCTCATCAGTAATATTCAGTATTGATCTTGGTCTCTAATTTCAAATCCCATCTTAAAACACATCTCTTTAAACTACCAAACTCTGATCATTATCTGTCTGTCACACAAATTTCCCATTGTCTTATTTTAGATGATGCAAAGTGATTTGAAAAGTGCCTAAAATAAAATGCATTACTATTACTATTGGTTTTTATTATTATTATTATTAGTGGAAGCATTAGTATTACTATTAGTAGTAATTTGATTTACACATACAAAATTAATACATTTCCCATCATCTCATCACTTATTTCAGATGAGCACACATCCTCTAAATATCCATTTAGCAGGAAATTTCATAGAAAATACATTTACTTAAGCAAAAACATAAAATAAAACATAACCAGCAAATTCAGCAGCAAACCAACAAGACATTTTGAAATTGACTTCTACATCTCTTCATTTACACAAGTGTTTCTTGTCTTCTAGCACTGACTTCAAAGAGGATTGTTCTACTCGGAAAAACTGGGGCTGGGAAAAGCAGCCTGGCCAACACCATACTGGGAGAGAATGTCTTCAACGTATGCCATTCACCCGTTTCTGAAATTAGTCTGCCCCGTTTAGTAATTAAGTCTGTAAATGGAAATAACATCAGTTTTATTGACACTCGTAGTATTTTTGACACAGGCATGTCTGAGCAATTACTCAGGGATGAGATAGTGAGGTGCATGACAGAGTGCGCTCCCGGACCTCATGCTTTTCTCATCGTCCTTAAAGTGGAGAAATTTACACAGCAGGAGCAAGATGTAATCAAAAGAATATGCCAAGATTTCTCTGAAGATGCTATGAAATACGCTGCTGTTATCTTCACTCATGGCGACCAGCTCCCAGAGGGAACGAGAATCGAGGAATTCATCAGTCATAACAAAGAGCTCAGCAATCTGGTGGAGAAGTGTGGAGGCAGATGCCATGTTGTTGATAATAAATACTGGAAAAACAACAAAGAAGATGACTACAGGAGCAATCGGTTCCAAGTAGCAGAGATACTCAGGACAATAGACAAAATAAGTGAGGCAAACAATGGAAGCTGCTACACCAATAAGATGCTACAAAAGATAGAAAGTGAACTACAGAAAGAGGAAGAGCTTATTAAAAAGTCATCAGCAAACATGTCGGTTGAACAGATTGCCATTGAAGCTAAAAAGGGTGTGATGAACAAGCTGCTGATTATATTTGCAGGTACGGCAACAGGCGTATTGGTTGGAGCCTTTCTTGGTGTGGCAAAGATGGTCACATCAACTTTTTTGAATCTGCAGGAGCACACAGATGCAACAGTATCACTAGCTGCTATACAGAAAGGGTTAGAGGGAGGTCGGTTAGGATATGCTGCAGCTGAGCAATCAGAAAGTGCATCGGAAGCCATTCAGAAAGCTGCTAAAGCTGTCCTGGAACACACTGTTAAATAGTTGTTAGGATCATGACAACGACAGAGAGTGGACAGCAAAGAGAGCAGAGAAAGGAGTGTTGTTTTCTTATGACTTGTGTAATTACGTTATCAGTAGAGATAGTGGCAGTAGAGGAACTATTTAGGTATTTAGTCAAGGAAAAGTAGCATTTGCTAAACACTTACACTACTTTGTTCTAGTTAAATATTAGCAAGTACAGGTACTTTTCCAGAATAATTTTCTTTATACAATTGGTTATAGATGCTGATGCATTTTTTTTTTTACAATCTATCAAAGTACATCAATAAACACAGATGTAAAACAATATATTTGTAAAACATTATATTTGTTGGTATTCACTTCTTAATCATTTCTGTCAGCTGTAAGCAGAGTAATAAATTACTATGGATTTGAAAAAATATTTTAAGCAACTTATAAATAAACACACATTTTAAGACCTTCAGGAGTGAACTTGTGTAAATGCTTTGATTTAAACTTGATTATGTCATACTACAATTCAATGAAACAGGTACATATTAAATGGAAATGTATATATCTGAATTTATTTCTTTTCTTTTCTTCCAGCAATAAAAAAAAAACTATTGATGAATCTTTGTAGTTTCTTAGGGTGAACAATATTATATCGACCTGGGAGCTGGTTATAATATACCGTGATTTGGTATTTATAGTATTTGCTATGCTTTAGCCTTCAAAATTTATTACATTGTCCCTCCTAAAGATTGGTATGATTTTTAAATAACTCCTTTTACAAGCTTTTAAGATGTCTCCACTCTGTTTGTTTAAGAAAGACAGACGGTCCAACTTTCCATTATTATTATGAGAAACCCCAGTATACTAGAAAGACATGCATATGACAAGGACACAATTAATACCAGTTTTTCATTATAGAGCCTGGAAACACAAATTTCCTTCTTTCTTTCATTTCTTTCAAATCACAGTCACAGTATCATCTATTAAAAGACGCAGACACCACCCCCTTAATCCTTTCTTCTATCCCAAACCTGTGTGCCCATTATGTAAACACAACCACATTCAGCATGTCAGCACATAAGCCACAGACAAAAAGACAAGTCTTTGACAAAGTAAGTCAGATAAATCAAGTCAAGTCATTTTTATTTAAATAGTAAATATAGTTCTGGGAGGAGTTGTTTTAACAATGTAACCATGTCACTTAATCTTCTCTTTTTTTTCTGAGTACAAGTAGATACACGCACCAGAAATAAGCAGGGTGTGTGGGCTTTGTCTCTGAAATATGGTGAGAAGCGGAGATGTTATTTCTCCATGCTGAAAATAAAACAGTTAACGTGGTGCAAGCATCTAAGAAGGAGACACCCGCTAGGTGGGTTGTTTCGTCCTGGACCCACAGCATACTGATAAGAATATATCTTTCAGCTGGCTCTGTTTCATGGAAGAGCTAGAGGAGGTGGCTGGGGAGAAGCTTGGACTGCTGCCCCCACCACCCAAACCTAGATAAGATGCAGAGTATGTATGTATGGACAGACTGACTGTTTATATTTATAC